ACTCCAGCCCCACTTTGTTTTCACACAACTTTCTTTAGGTAGTCTTTTGTGAACTTGAAGTAGGTGTATTACACATGTGAACAAGGTTGTTCTTTCTGAAGTCCATATTGCTGTGATATTGTGCTTTGAGCACCTGAGAAATACTCACCAAAAATATTTGGTCAGCCACTTATTAAAATTGCAAATTGACCTTTGCTTTCACTTCCAACAAACTATAACAAAATGGTTGTCATGATTTTAGACCTCAAAAAGACCTGGTCTGCTTGAATAAACAGATTTCTTCCCCAACCCCCATTATTTTTAATTTATTTTTATGTGGTGCTGAGGATCGAACCCAGTGCCTCCCATGTGCTAACCAGTTTTCTAAGGGAACTGAGACACACGTTCCAGAGCTGTACACTAATATTGCTTGGTGAAGAGTCTGAGGTGACCATTTTGTTTTTAGTATCAGAGCAGTAGAAGCTCTTGGCTAAGTGTCACCTGACTCTCAGTTCTCATCAGAAGACTATTTGTGTTAAATTTTCTTGTAATTTGATCTGTGAAAACCTCATTTTCTCTAATTCTTCTCGAATCAACTAGGAGTTCCCCTGCCTATCATTTCTTTGTAATATTTTTTATTCTTTAGCCCACATTATCATCTTTCTCCTGTTCTAATCAATTACACTGAAAAACACCAAGCAAAGTATAAGAGAGAGGAATACTTAAAAAAAAAATAAAAAGGCCTTTGTGTTCATCCTTTTTGAAATGAAATTACCCTTTGGATTATTAACTGACTTGGAAGCATCATATTTCTTAGCATAGTAGTTTGATCTGTTCTTGAAAATCTGCTTATTTAACTAGTAAAATAAATAGTGATAGGTAATTCAGTTGTATGCTCATTATGACCAAGCTGGTATTTTAAAACTTAATGTTCTACATCAAATAATTTTCTCTGTGCATATTTATAAGCGAAGTAGCTCATGTGTTCTAATCTGATTTTCTTCCTGTGTTATTGGATCATACAAGTAAAAATAGCTTTTTGTTCTCTATTTAAAGTCATTTGGAGAGAGAGAAAGAGAGTGTTTGTGTGTTTGGGTTTATTTCTTGTTTGTTGTTTGAGATAGGGTCTTGCTAAGTTGCCAAAGCCAGACTTGAACTTGTGATATCCTTCCTCAGCCTCCCATGTAGCTTGGATTGTAGGCATGGACCGCTGTGCCCAACTTTGAATATGTTTTAAGTAGTTTCTTTAGGTGTCTGAAAATGTTATTTGGAAGGATTTTTTTGTAGAATTTTTTGCATGATTGCAAGCGGTTAGGTGTTTGTAGGTTTGCTCTTTTTTGTTTTCTCCCCCCCCCCCCTTTTTTTTAAATGTATCTAACTGCTGTCTCTAAATCCTGAAGCAGTTAGATGCTCCTAAACTAAATTGTTCATCCTGATTACTTTCTTTTTTTAAGAGTCTTGAGAGCTTTATTTTATAGCCTTTTTAATAATCATTTTGGTTGAGACCAGTAGAATTAGACACACTAATATTTGTATCTGGTTCATTTGTTCCTGAAGTTAACTAATTCATGTCTCTGTTCCTTTTCCTGTAAAAAGAGGATAACAGTGGTGCTTACTTTATAGATCTGTGGTGAGAAATAAATGAGATAAAAGGTAACACAAAACAAATACTTAAATATTAGCTTTTATTATTATAGATTGGGGGGGGGGTTAGTAAACATTTTCCGTAAAAGGCCAGATGGTATGTCTTTTAGGCTTTAAAGGCCAGTTTGTCACAGCTACTCAACTCTGCCTTTACAATGTGCATGCAACCATAGACACTATGTTAATGACAAGCCAGGCCATGTTCCAATAAATCTCTTCATGAAAACAGTTTGCCATATTAGGCTTGTAGTCTATAGTTTGATGACCCCTGTTCAAGACTAATAAAAACTAAAAAATTTTAAAAATGTATGGAAAATATTAAGAGTTCAGTGTAGTTCTTCTGTAAAATGAATTATCAAGAGAATTTAGGTAGATTAAAAACTTCAGTTTACAACCTTAGACATTTAAAATTTCAGTGTCTTAAGACATCTTTTGCTCAATTAACATATTTTATAATGAAAATCTCAACCAGGAACCATTTTTAAAAAAACAGTATTTATTGACCTTCACAATTTTTGTTATTAACCCTTTGTGTCTACAAATATGAAAACATTGGGACCAACTTAAATGGCCTTCTATAGTATATAGGTTGATTAGTTTTTGGTACATTCACAAAATAGAGTACATACAATATAAAAAGAGAGTAAAGAAGCTCCTTATGTATTGATATGGAATGATTTCCAGAATATGTAGTTAAGAGCAAAAAGCAAGTTGCAAAAAGAATACACAAGTATGTTGCTTTTTCTATAAGAAATAAACAGTGTCAACAACAAAACAACCAAGCATTTCTAGATCCCTAAAAACCCATTAGTGGAGAATATCCCAACATGTACTCTTCCCTTACTACCTTAAAGACAGTATATAAAAAATAATCTAGGACTGGGGACGGGGGTAGTAGTATTGTACTTGCCTAGGATGTACGAAGTCTTGAGCTCAATTCTCTGGTATTGCAGAAAAGAAAAAAGGTCTAACCTTTAAGGCAAAACAAAACAAAACAAAAATAAGTTTTGGAGGCCTGGAATTTGGGCAGGGCTCGTATTGATGATTGTTTTGCTCCATATATTACCAGATGGGGCCCTTAAGTTTTTTCCATCTAGTAGATGGGCTACTCTGGGCCATCTGAGATGGATCATTCACGTATCTGATACCTTGCCAGGTAGAAGGCTGAGCTCGTCTGAAACTGTCTTACATGTGGCATCTCCAACATGCTAACCATTTTTTAATTTTTATTTTGCAATACTGGGGATTGAACCTAGTGGTGCTCTACCACTTGAGCTACATTCCCATCCCTTTTTACTTTATTTTGAGACAGGGTCTCACTAAGTTGCCCTGCTGGCCTCAAACTTATGATTCTCATACTTCAGCCTCCTAAGTAGCTGGAATTACAGGCTGTGCCACCATGCCTGGCTGCTAATAGTTTTTTTTTTTTTTTTAAATGAAATGACTGTGCTGCACATGATGGTGCATGCCTATAGTCCCAGTGACTTGGGAGGATGAGGCAGGAGGATCACAAGTTCTAGGCCAATTCCAACAATTTAGCAAGACACTGTCTTAAAATTAAAAGTGAAAGAGGCTAGGGATGTAGCTTTAGTGGTAGAGTGCCCCTGGATTCAATCCCTAGTAACATAATAAACAACAGACAAAGAAAACACTAATCCCCGCAACTCAGGAGGCTGAGGCCCAAAGGATCACAAATTCAAGACCAGTCTCAGCAACTTAGTGAAACACTTCTAAAAATAAAAAGGGCTGGTGATGTGACTCCGTGGTAAACTACCCCTAGGTTCAATTCTCAGCAAACACCCCCCACCCCCGCACCCCTGCCCTGCACACCAAATAAAAGACTCGACGTTGTCATTTTGAATCTCATTTCTTCTCTTCTTGGGTACATGGGCTATGGCTTGTACTCCCCAGAATTATGTTGAGTGTGTTTTTTGTTTTTTAATTTTTTGCTGCATAAGCAGATTCTCAGCGGTGGGGGGGGGTCTGGAACAAAGTACTTACTGCACAGATGACATCTTACTCTATGGGGCACTTAACTTGCTATGTATAAGCTGCCTTGCTAGTCACAACTAAGTGCTCTATAAGAAACTTAAAATATGCCTTAAAAAAGAAGGAGGGGCTGGGGTTGTGGCTCAGTGGTAGAGCGCTTGCCTAGCATGCGTGAACCCAGGCCCTGGGTTCAATTCTCAGCACCATATATAAATAAGTAAAATAAAGGTCCATCAACAGCTAAAAGATATTAAAAATAAATAAAGAAAGAAAGATGGAAATTTGGGCTGGGGTTATAGCTCAGTGGTAGTGTACTTGCTGGCATGTGTGAGGGCATTGGGTTGGATCCTCAGCACCACATACATACATACATGCATACAAAGGTATTGTGTCCATCTACAAGTAAAACAAAAACTTTTTTTTTTTTTTTAAGAAATTCTGCAGTATGTGACAACATGGATGAATCTGCAGGAAGTTATACTAAGTGAAATAAAATAGTTATGTAAGGACAAATATGTACGATTCCACTTATATCAGATATCTTAAATAATCAAAACTCATAGAAAGAAAGTATAGTGATAGTTGCCAAGGGCCATGGGAAGAGAGAATGAGGGCTTGCTATACAGCACGTGTAAAGTTTCATTTATGCAAGATGAATAAGATGTTATGTAGTATTGTGCCTATAGTTACCAATACTACGTTGTCCACTTAAATTTTTGTTAAAAGGGCAGCTCCCATGTTAAATGTTCTTACTACATTTTTTTTTTTTAAAGAAATGACTTAGCAATTAACCATTTTGAGGGGGGAAAGTAACGTCAGAACCTAATGAGTTTTTTTCTGCATCTGTCCCCCTTCCATGGGTTCTTGGTAAGATAGTAAATGGCAGAGTATGGGGACAGATCAGGCACTAGAAAGGGACAGGTTCAGTGGTGACTGCTGTTGAAAAAGGGGCTGGTAGACTTGAATTGAAGCTTTGTATGACAGGCCCTCCCCCTTTTTTGCTTGAATTGTGTTTATCTGAAGCGACTCATGATGTGGCAGCTGAAGTTCCTCCAACTCTTCTTTCTATCACTGGGCAAATTAGGGGATCATATAAACATTCCCTCAATTCCCTATCACCATCACACCTTGGAGTTTCTGGGAGGGCCTTTTCATTCTATACTATATAATTCTGCTTTTTCTCTATCAGCCTCTTGATGGTTATAGTTCTAAGTTGATAATTTTGGGTCCTTTGTCTTTGCATCATATTTAGGTATATAAAGCTCTCCAACCTTAACTGTAGATGGGGTAATAGTACCTACCTCAGTGTTGTGAGAATGCTTCAAGTGCTAAGAAAATGTTAGGTGTTATTGTTATTGGATAAATGTCTTTCAAACTTCCTTTTTCAGAAACTGATTCAGCAGGACAGAAGGAACATAGAAACCAGACTCCTGCTCCAGCTGCAACTCAAACTTCCGCTCCCTCTAAGTACCACCGATCTAGGTCTGGAGGAGCCAGGGATGAGCGATACCGATCAGGTAAGAAGGAACTACAGAAATTATCAACTCAGTAGTTTTTACTGATCATAGTGTGAACTGTGTATTCTGAGAGCTTCTAATATTTGTTCTATTTTTTCCCTTTAGGCATTAATAGGTCTATATCAATTCATTCATCAAGCACTTATTTAGTACCTACTATGTGTCAGGTGTAGTAGATACTCAATATTTGGTGATGATAAAGCAACATTTAAGACCATTTCTGCCCTTAAGGAATTAAAGAAGAGCCAGAGCCAGGCATAGTGGTGCATCACTGTAATCCCAGATGTTCAGGTGGCTGAGGCAAGAAAATCACAAGTTTGAGGCCAGCCTGGGCAACTTAGTGAATAAGCTGGGGATATATAGCTCAGTGATATATCCACTGAACCCACTGGTAACCTGGGTTCAATCCCCAGTACTGGGGGAGGTAGGGTGGGGTAGAGAAGAAGGGAAAGTGAAGAGTTAGGTCATGTGGGTTGGTACTATGAGAGGTTAGATGCATATATACATAAAATTTTATACATGGGATATATAGCTCAGAGGCAGAACACTCCTGGGTTCAATTCCCACTACCACAAACAAACAAACAATACAAGAGTTAGCTAAGGAAATAGCACCAGATAGTAGACCCAAAAATAACTCTTCATGGCCAGAACTTAAGAATGTAAGGATTAGAAAGAAGTGGGAGGTGAGGCCAAGAAACATTACAAGAAACCAAATCTTCAATGCCATTTAGGTTTTGTAGCAGATAAGTAACCTAATCAGGTTTTTATTGTTCTTGTTGCTCAAATCCAGTTGCAAACTGCATGCTCTACCACTGCTGTGTGCCAGTGTTAAGTAGATATTTTAAAGAAAGGAAGGAGTAAAAGTACTTATTAAGTACTTATTAACAGTGGATTAGAGGAACGAAATACTGGAAGTAGCAAAGCGTGTCAGGAGCTCCTGTTTGTTGCCAAGTACCCAAGTCTGAGTTCCTAAGTTCTCAGTGTTGCCTCTTCAGTCTGGGCCCAGGTCCAGAAGCAGCATGTTCTAACCAGTTTAGAAGGGTTTTAGCCTTTACAACTATTATCTCTGGCCTTCTGAGATATTTTGTGTTTTCCCCCTTGGTTTTTCTTTTTTCTTTGTTACAGCACATAATAAGAGGATTAGTAAGGAACTGAAAAGATTATATTGTGTGTCCAAGATGATCATATGATAGAAAAAGGTATTTAGTACTATAGAGTTTTGATTGTTACCTATAAAAATCCATCTGTGGTCTCTGACCTCTTTCTCTTTTGTACCAGTTCTTTCAGATTATGAGAAAGTGAGTTTATGAATCAGATACTAGTCAGCAGGCTGTGGAAACAAGGTTGTGTAAGGGTACTAATGAGAATTTAACAGTCAGGTTTGGGAGTTTTTTCACTAGGACATTTTTTTTGCACATGTAGGGAGGTACTAGCAAGAAATAGGCCAGAAAGTGTGGTGGTGGTGGTGGTGATGGTGGGGCTGTGATGAAGGAATGAAAAAGACGAACTGTTGAAAAAGGCTGAAGATACTGAAAGTTATGAGAGTGTTGTAATACTCTCAGTGAATGAGAACATGAAAGGGGCATGCAAGCATTGAAATATTTGGTGGGGAAAAAAAATCACACTTTTTCAATCCAGGAATTTCAACTAAACAGCAATGAAAGCTCAGCACATTGGAGAAATTGATAGTCTGGGAGAATTCTGGCCTCTCTGAAACCAACAGCGGCTGCAGAGTTGAAACAAATAAGTTGCAGAGGTTGATGGTAGCTGAACTTTCACTTCTCTACTATTCTGGTCATGGGAAGGGTTACATTTACGAATCACATGCAAACATAGGTTAAGAACATAGGATATGTTTAGTGAAACTTGCAAGATTTCAGAAAAAAGTGATGGGTAAACAGGAAGTGTTTAATGATAATAATGCCCCAGAGTGCAACTGGAAAATGTTCTTTTAGTTAGTGGATGCTTGTTAACATCTATACCATATCAAAGGATCAAAATAAAATCTGCATACATTGAGCATTTCATGTTTCAGGCAGTATTGTAGGCTTATATATTTATTCAGTGTTTAGGCCATCTGATTTGTTTCTGTTTCCTTTCTTTTCCCCCTGGCACCAGGGATGTAGCTCAGGGCTCCACCCTTGCTAGGGCAAGTGCTCAACCAGTGACCTATATTCCCATCCCTTTTTATTGTATTTTGAGATAGGGTCTCATCTGATTTTGTTCTTTGTGCTTAGCCAAAAGAGACCTTATATTTCAATATGTTACCTATTCAGTATCTCTTTTTTCTGCACAGCAAGGCACCCATGTATGGCATAGTCTCAAGCATAGAAAACACAATTAATGCTTAAGATGGAAATTGATCTTGGTTTAAACCATTCTGAATATTTTGATGTTAATCTCTTGAAAAATTAGCTATTCCAATGAAAACAACAAAAGGAAAACAAAAAAGGACTTTGAGGATATATTTGTATCGTTCAGCTGAAACGTTTGTATTGAAAAATAATACCCAGCTTTCACTTGCTTCTAGCAGAGAAGTCTAAAGTCATCTTTGTCTGGGGACTGAACTTCGGAAGTGATTTCTTTATCAAATATGGATTGTATGCTGGTGAATGAATCTAAGAGGCTGCCAGTTCTTATCTGTCCGAGTCTTTGCTAATAGAATGTGAATATCTCCTTTTGACACTAACATTTGGGCATAGGTTTATCATGTCAGAAAATAGTTGTGGTTTGATTTGTTTTATGATCTGATGCTGTAAATCCTTATGGTGTGGAAGAACATGCTCTGTAATTATTATCAGAATATCACAGGCCTAAAGCTTTATCAGTGAATAATTTCCTAGCTTTTTAAAGTTTGCTATCATATGTTTCATATCATATGTAAAAATACTTTGGGAAATGTACTGTTTTTAATTAGATCAGATCAAATGTGAGCATTTGATTTGCTATTTTCTGTTATTGAAAAAGTGCTTTTTCGGAGGACTTGGTGATGTGTACTTGTAATCCCAGTGGTTCCGGAGGCTTAAGTAGGAGGATCTCAAGTTTCAAAGCCAGCCTCAGCAACTGAGCAAGGACTTGAGTAACTCAGTGTGACCTTGTCTCAAAATAAAAAATAAAAAGGGCTGGGGATATTGCCCAGTCGTTAAGTGCCTTTGGGTTCAATCCCTGGTACCTTCCCTCCCACACACAAGAGAAATAGCTCAAAAGTGTGGCAATATTTTTAAAACTTTAGATATTTATACTCTTTAACCTGGAAATTTTACATTTAGGAATTTGTTTTATACAGATACCAACATATGTACACAAGGATGTTTGTTGTAGTATTGTTTAAAATAATATAGTGGTTAAACAAATTATACATATGTGTACACAGTGGGATTTCTAGGAAAGCTGATTTTTCTTCTTGGTTTTTTGTTTTGTTTTTTTTGTTGGTAATGGAGATCAGATCCAGGGTCTCATGCATGGTAGGCTAGCACTATACCACTGAGCTGCATCCCTAGCTATAGGATATTTGTTTTAAAAGAAAAACTGAGGTAAACCTGTTTGTACAGATATGAAAAGATACTCAGAATACAATTTTTTAAGTAAAAAAGGCAAGACAATATGCAGTATGTGGTCTGATTTTTGTAAAAACTAATAATGTTATTGTATACATTTGTATTCAAATACAACAAAACCTGGAAAAATATATACCAAACTATTGAGATGAGATATTTTTGGGAGGTGCTGGATCTAGGAACATTTTTCACTTTGGCATATGTTGGTAGATCTTTTTGCATCATATACAATTTTATTGTGGTAAATACATAAAATTTATATATGTTAATCATAAACAAAAATAATAAGCATAGGCTTTTAATGTGATAGTCGTGGATTAATGATTTAAAGTTTTAAATATGATGATGATGATGATGATGATGATGGTGGTGGTGGTGGTGGTAGTGGTGGTGGTAGTGGTGGTGGTGGTGGTGTAGTACTGGGGATTGAACTCAGGGGCACTCTACTACTGAGCTACATTCTCATCCAATTTTTATTTTTTTAATTTTCAGACAGGGTCTTGCTAAGTTGCCTAAGCTGGACTTGAACCTCTGATCTTCCTGCCTCAGCCTCGAAGTTGCTGGGATTAGAGGTGTGCACCACTGCTGCCAGCTTAAATCAATTTTTGTATTAAATAATTTTTACTTCAGGTTTAGATTCCTTTGACTTAATGTTGGGAACTAAATGCAAGGATAACTTTATCAACCTAGTTGTGGACTTTTATCTTTGTCCAAATCTGATCCCTAATCTAGTGTGACATTTGCTAAAGTGGCTGGTACTAGTGCTACAGGATCCTTTTCTTCCTATATTAATATACTCCTTATATGACAGAAGGTAAATGAATTTGGTGCATTTTTTGTAGACCTCCCATGATTTGAACACAGTTTTAGATGCTGGAAAAACACAGATTAAAAATCTAAGAGTCCTTTTTTCAGTGCATATTCTACACAATACAGGGTTTAGAAGCAGCATCAAAGAGGGAGGTAGAGGAAGGCACACAATGTTAAACATCTGTAAGTGGTATTATCTGAGCCATTCTGAAGGATGAATAGCTGTTTGCTATGTAGATATTTTAAGCAAAAGAAACATAATGTGTGAAGGCATACAATGTAAAATATATATTGTACTTTATAAATAAAATTTCACTCCTCTTCCTGACTCAGCATAGAGTTAAATTTATTTATGGAGCTAGAAAACTGACTTTTGGAATTCATTTGGAAAAAATGTAAGAATAGCTAGGAAAACACTTGAGAAAAGCTCTGGGAGACTCATAACTGCAAGGTATTGAAATATACTACAAAGGCTCTGTAATTCAAACAGTGTGGTATGCCATACAAATTGGCAGGCAGAACATTCGATAGAGCAAGAAGTTCAGAAATTGACCAAATTGACCAAAATACACCTGAGAACTCAGTATATGACATAGATAGAATTGTAAATCACTAGGGCAAAAATACTCTT